TGTTGTCTCAGATTCTCCAGCATCGGCAGTTCCTACTATCTCTTGTTCTTAAAATTTGTGTGTTTGAAACTTGCCACTGTAGACATGACTACCAATGTAATTCTCCAGTCATGGTATTGGAGTTGTAGTGTACCATAAGTACCTGCAGAGAGATTTCTAAAAGGGCATTTGTTAGACAAAACACAGCTTTTTTTAGGTTGCACGTAGCAAGACGAGTAAGGGAAGTCTGTGGTTGTAGTTTTTTGAATTTTCATAAAGCATTCTATGAGCTATTATTAAGATAATATGCAAATATTAGGCTTTTAGAATTGTACATGTACAAGCATGGTATGAGGGTTGGCTAATTAGCTATTTGGCTAATGAACAAAAGGAGTAGGAATAAATAGGCTACAAGGATCGGTGCTCGGGTCTCGGTTATTTGCAGCCTGCCTAAATAACTTGAGGAGACTGAACGTAATACGTTCAAGTTCACTGACAGTCTAAAGTAGGTGGAAAATTCAGTTGAGAGGGCCACACATAGAAAAGAATTAGTAGTCACATGGGAAACATGGGCCCAATTTTAAGAGTCAGCATGAATTTGTTAAAGGAAAAAGTAAATTGGCCCTAGAGTAAAAAGTAGCAACATTGATATAAAAGGGGCCTGCAGAGTCATACTGAAAAAGGGATATTTTTTCAGGTTGGAGGAAGATCTATAACAGAGTTCCCCAGGGGTCAGTATTGGCAACCTTGCTTTTACGAACATACATAAAGTGAACTAGATCTTAGTTTGCAGATGACAACTGGAAGCATTATAGACCGTGGAGAACTTTGTGGCAAATGAAGCTCAATGCTTCCAAGAGAAGTGGGAAGTGATGCACTTTGGTAGAAAGAACACGGACAGACAGTATAAAATAAAGGGTGTGCAGGAGTATACAGACTTAGGTCTATATACACATAAGCCACTAAAATTGGTAGGACAGGTAGAGAGAGCCATTAATAAAGCCTACAATATTTTAGGCTTCGTTAATAGAGGCAGAGAGTATAAGAGGAGGGTAGTTATGCTGAATTTTACAGAACCCACATCAGACTTCAGATGGAAGTCTGGATACAGTTATGGGAACCATACTTAGAAAGATGCGAATACACTGGCGAGAGAATTTTGAAGTAATTTACAAGAATGGTTCCATGGATGACAAATTTCAGTTAGAAGGATAAATTGTGGACTGTTTTCTTTGGTGAGGCAAAGGCTAAAGGGGAGACTTGACAGAAGTTTTCAAAATCATGTGGGGTTTGGACAGAGTAGACCATGAGGAATGCTTCACGCCCAAAACAAAACCAAATTGCACAGTTTTAAAATATTTTGCAAAAGCAGTCGATGTGGGGGAGAAAAAATAATAGTAGTGCAGGTTTGGAATGCACTGCCTCAAAGTGTTGTGGAGACAGATTCAGTTGAGGTATTCAAGACAGCATTGGGTGATTATTTAAATAGAAACCATACGCAGTGTTATAGGACAAAGACAGAAGGTTGGCACACAGTCAAAAATGCTTACAGCTGGAGCAGACATAGTGGGTCAAATGGACTCTTCCTGCACCACTAGCTGGTGCTCTGTATATAACACTGAGCAATGTAATTGCACCCTTCTTAATTTAGCCAAAGCTAAGGTTGGAGTCCTTGAACCTGCTGAAACATCCTTTTTCTCTTGTACTGCAGTACTGTTATAAGCCAAAAATGTCACCCATCCACCATATTTACCTTTCCTATTACTTCCAAGGACCTTTATAACCAAGAATATTTAACACCAAAGGAATAAAGAGAGGGTGTGAGTGGGTAGAAAGGTGACAGATGACATACACTGTCAAAGTTATCCACTTGAATTGGAAATATAGAATTTATTTTTAAATAGGAGAACCTGGGAAATGTTGGTGTTTCAAAGGAATTCTTTGCAAATGAATGAAAGTTAATATGCAGGCGCAGCATGTAGCAGATAGTCTGTTTGCTTTTTTTCTTCTTGATGAGGGCATCATTGGCTAGGCAGCATTTATTGCCCATCCGTAATTGCCCAGCAGGCACTTGAGTCAACCACTTTGTTGTGGGTCTGGAGTCCCATTAGGCCAGACCAGGTAAGGATGGCAGTTCCCCTCCCTAAAGGGCATTAGTGAACCAGATGGGTTTTTCCGACAATCAAGAATGGATTCGTGGTCATCGTTAGATTCTTAATTCCAAAATTTGTTGATTTCAAATTACACCATCTGTCATGGTGGAATTTGAACCTGGGTCCTAGAATGTAATCTACATCTCTGGATTAACAGTCTGGTGATAATACCACTAACCCATCGCTTCCCCTTACAGAAGGATTATAGTCTAAAAGTGAAATGTGCCTTATTGCAATTGTTTAGAACCTTTTAGAGTATAGCTGGAGAGCTATGCACAGTTCTGGTGCTACTACCTTGAGAGTGTGGTAAGTGCCCACTAGTTTAATTTCTGGGGTGCAGGGTTTATTCTATGAAGAGAAACTGAATAGACAAATCCTATGGTCCATAGAATCTGGGGGGGAAAAAAAGAGGTGATATAATTGAAAAGTATAAAATTGTTATTGGACTTAATGTGATAGAAGCTGGGAGAGTGCCTTTCCTTACATTAGGAGATTAAAACTAGGCATTACAGCCTTAGAATATTGGTCAGCTGTTTAGAAATTGCAGGACTGAGAGTCTTTGCAGCAGTCTTTACCTCGGGGCTGTGGATGCTCAGTTTGTATGTATGTATGTATGTTTGTGTGGGGAAAGGAAGCTGAAGCTTGTGAATATTTGTAGAATCACAGGTGTGGGTGGGTGAAAATAGGTAGGCATTATTAATTCTGTGTGCTTAGTATGAATAAATCACCTGGTCTGGGTGGCTTTCATTCAAGGTTGCTAAGGAAATGAAGTAGACCTTAACAAGTCTTGTCCTATCTTTCTTAGATCAAGACCTACTTAGAGTTGTAGATTTTGGTAATTCTATACCTCTGAACATCTTCAGCCCTCTTGTTGATCATATTCAAGACAAAAATTGATAAATGCTTGGGTACTGCAGTAATTGAGGGATAGTGGGGGGAAGGTAGAAGATCAGTCATGGTTGTTTTGTATTGATTGGTGGAGTAAGCTCAAAGAGCCAAATGATCTCTTCCCACTCCTATTTCTTATGTTCTTGTATTGCCATAAGATAAATATTTTAAATGCTGAGCAAAGAGCTGAAGTAAGGTGTGATATTTTCTGTCATAAAATCACAAACTTTAAAAGCTTTTGTAATATTAATAAAGGTGCATATGGCTTCTGAGATTTACCTTGTTTGTTGATTTACTCGCTCCTTTTCCATAGTCCATATCCCAGGGTGGATTTTAGTAACCAGGGCTTGTATTTTTTGTTTGAAACCATTTTACTGTATTGTATTTCTTTAACACGTTTAATGTAGATCTTTTCGGGCTGTGGAGATACTATTTTCCACTTTGACTGCTTAAGATGAAAAACATTTTCAGCTAATTGTTCTCTAAATTTAAAGATCCAACGGTGGTTGTAGATTTTCCTTTCCCTGTCCTCAACAATTAATACAGCCGTTTGTGAATAATGAGAATTTCCATCTTTTATTTTGTAACTTGAGTTTTAAACATTTTCTAAAAGCTATGTTGTATGTTTTAGCCGTGAAAAGTTATGGATCTGTATGGAGTACTGCGGAGGTGGATCACTTCAGGATATGTACCACGGTTTGTTGCTTAAGTTCTCCTCATTGTCTGCCCACCTGTTCCTTCCCTCTCTCCTTCCACCCAGTCCCCAAAAGTAATTAACCTGCTGTCCTGTTGGCCATTTAATTTGCATGTTAAATAATCACTCATGTTTATTCGAAAAGCAGAGTTTCTATTAATTTTTTAACTAACTCCACAAAATAATGCATTTAATTGCTGTTTGTGGGATCTCGCTGCATTTGCCTATTTAATGGTGATTTTATTTTAAACTAATTTATCTTGTGAATAAAAAGAAAGGGACTGCTAATGTTGACAATGCACTGATCAGTCAGCATCTATTAAAGGAAAAACCAGAGTGTTAGAAGGATCTTGTGTCCAAAATGTTAGCCTGTTACCTCTTCACAGTTGCCAACTGACCTATTTTCTTCCAGAATTGCGGCCCTAAAAAATTTTTTTTTGTGAATTGCTTTCAAAATGTTTGTGTGTTTGTTTTTTTTTAAATGCTGGATTTACTCATTCTTGCTCAATTATCCCCCATATTTCTCTTTCCCTCACTCTCCTCTCCTCTCCTCTCCTCTCCTCTCCTCTCCTAGTCCTGGTATAGAATTTCCTCTTCAGTTCCCACACCCTCTTACCATCTGTTCCTCCATTTCCAGCCACTACCCTCTGCCACTCATCCCAACTAGCTATTTTTTTCTTTCACCTGTCCCTTGCTTAGTTCCTTTTCTACAAGACTCGAATTATAGAAACTAAAACAGTGGTTGATGGAAAAGCTCATTAGGTAAGGCAGCATCTGTGAAGAAAAAGCGGAGTTAACGTTTTGGATCTGGTGACCGTTCGTCAGAACAGCATCTGCAGTTCTTTCGGTTTTTATTTAGAATTATAGAAATTTCATTTGAACTGACTTGATTGTACTTTGAAAGGAGTTCTCCATATTCTGTTTGCTAAAGTTTGCAGAAGTAGACTAATTGTTCATTGACTGTTATGTTATGAAATGCTTTGCTTTTACAGTAACAGGACCCCTCTCAGAACTACAAATAGCTTATGTTTGCAGAGAAACATTGCAGGTAGGATTGTGGTTTCTCTTTGACTTTGCACGTTAAGAATTTCTTGCCAGCAACTAGGAGAATACATTAGCATGTTATTAAACCAATGTGTACCCCTTCTTTAAACAAAACAATTGACCAAAACAGTTGCAGACCATTAATCCTAATATCACGCATTTATATCACTTAATCAATTATTTTATTTAAAATTATTGGTAATTTTGAGCAAGTATCACTAGCCTAGCCCTCACCGAGCATAGTAGAGAAAGAGAATTTTTGACTTCTCACTAATAGTGAGAAGTTTTGTCTGTCACCTTCTAATAATTAGACGATAAATAAATCATCCATTTAAAATGAACAGAATTATCTGATATCCATTATTCAGCACCATGGCAAGAGCAAACTTGCCCATAAATTGCACATTGGTTGGGTTACCGATTATGAGAACTGAGGATGTAATTTCTAGGACACTGAGAAAAGAGACAATTGTAGTGTGGCCTGATTAACATTTGAAATTGTGCAAGGGTTTTATAGGGTTGGTATTTTGTTATGATTCTTGAGGGGAAAACCATGAACCTAGATGATAAAATTTGATGCATGACCCCCAAATAAAGAAATTACTAACCTTGGCTTTATTTATGTTCAAGTAAATGGAATTTACGAATGAATTAACAAGCAAATGATGCTTCAAATGAAAAAAAAACTTAAATTTCATTCTGTATAGTCAATACAACGAAGATGCAACCAAAAGCGCTTGCATCATTCTGCATACAACTGTGACACCATGTGCAATGTTTATTGTTTCGAACTTGACTTTTGGTACTGAGGATCCCTAACTTACTTCCTTAATTGAGTCAGTCTTTAGTTGTGTTGACTGGCAGTTGTATTCTGAGGTCCTAGGATACAGTTAACACTGAAGGGCTCTTATGAGTGGTGTGTGAGGTCTCTATCTCTGAGCCAGGAGGCCTGGGTTCAAGTCCTGCTTATTTCAGAGGTGTGAGATAATAACATCATGAACAAGTTGGTTAGAATAATGATAATTGTCTCCTAATCCAACACTTCTTTGTATCTGTTTCTCTGTGCTGATTTTTCCCTTCTACCTCATGCTGCTCTGTCTTCCAACCACGTTACTTCTGGTCTTAACACTGGTTCCTATTGCTTCCAGGTAAAGGGTCACAAGTTCACAAGGGCCAATATTTCTTTCTATCTAAGAAAATTATACAGGAGGATATAGATGGATTAGTCACATAGGAAGATCAGTGGCAGATAAAATTCTACCCTCTCAAATGTGAGGTGGTGCACTTTGGAAGAAGTAACAAGATGAGGGAGTACTCAATGAATGGCAAGACATATGGTAACTCAGAGGATCTCTTTTTAAAAAGTGTTAAAATTCCTTTTGAAACACTCTTTAATAACCATTACTGATCCTACCAATGTTTTAAAGAAATAACAAAAATTTTCCTTGCGTTAGGTAAAGGCAAAGTTGCCACAGTTCTGTAGGATTATAGAGAGACCACTGGTATTGAGTTTAACATGAAGGTTAACACACCTCAGGCAAGGTTAAGAAAGTGGGAACTTCATTGTGACCTCAGCCAGTATGGGAATTGAACCAATACTGTTAGCATTCCTCTGCATCACAAACCAGCCATCTAGCCAACTGAGCTAACTGATCCTCTATTGCAACCCAGATCAAATTGTGGTGATAGATGTTTCCCAGCGTAATTTCTAATTAACTGCTAGAAAATAAATATTATTAAACTCCATGTGGATTCCAGGCAATTCTATTTTACTTAGTTAGAATGCAGAACTTGCTATTGCAAAAAATAATTGAGATAAAAGCGCAGATATATTTAAGGGAAATCTGGATAAACACGTGGGGGAGAAAGGAGTAGATGATTGCGCATATTAACAGACAAAGTAAGATGGGAGGAAATTTGTGAAAAATATAATTAAAGTAAATAGCTGCCAATAATAATTTTGAAAATGGTCTATTTGGCCAATCTCTTTTATTTTTGTTTGAATGACAAAAAATTAGTATCTTAATATGATGTTTAGATGATTAAGATTCCCTTTGACATATATCCTCTTAGCTGCGTAAAATTAATACGTTGAGCATTTAAGATTTAATTAAGCACCATAACAATTCTGTGAAATGTAAAATAAAATGAACTGAGTTCCAACAGATTATTATTCATGAAGCAGTGTTAGTAGTAGAGTGAAGATGCAAATGAATGATAAATTTATTGTCACGTATGTCTAGGGAGGTATAGTGAAATGTGTTCTGTCACTGCAATCCAGTGCCACTTTGAGGTACAAAAGAAAATATTTAAATAAAGTTGATCTTCATGGCTGGGGTCCCAAACATGGCTCCAGGACTTATGGAAGGTCTGTGTAATGTCCCAGCTCTGGGCCCACTGTAGCCAGGAGTCCCTGCTCCACAATTGTTGCAGCTGACGCCTCACTGCTAGTTCCACAGTATTTGTGGAGAGAAAGCACAGTTGATGATTCAGCTCCAGGGACCCTCTTTCAGAATACTTCAGTGACTGGACTAATTGTTCATAGTTTGATATTTTGAGTTGCTAAAGAATAAGAATAAATCATCAAATATTATGGTGAAACTATATAGTCCTTGAGCGAGACCATTAGTATGTTTGAAATTTAATGGATAAGGAAGTAATTTAAGCCCTTAAGGGAATAACGTCCAAACCTTGTCCTTTCGTTGGTTGCGAGGAAAGATTGAGGATAGGAGGGGGTATCTTGGAGAAACAAAAAAAATGGCAAATTGTGTACAGAAAGCAAACCTACAGCATTATTTCAGAATGTACTGTGAAATTATAACAACTGAGAAATTATTAAAGATGTTTTAAGATTTATGTTGATAAGGAGCATTTAATCTTTTTAAGAGGGTAGTAGAGTCAAACCCTTTTGGTGATTATAGTTGCATGCTATAGAATTTTCTTTTGCTGGATTGGGCAAGTGACCCATGGCTGTTCTCATTTGTAGTTGTGTTTTACTGTTGTGCAGTTTTTTTTTGTTTGTGCTTGATGATGTGCAACTTGTTTTGTAGGGTCTGGGCTATTTGCACAGTAAAGGAAAAATGCACCGAGATATAAAGGTAAGCCTAAGTTTGCATTTTAGTTGTAAATTTCCGTAAACTGAAGACTTTTTAAACATTCGTTGTCAATCAAACTGTATCTGCCGTATGCGAAAGTGGAAATTAGCTATTTGATAGCCTGTGTTGTTGAACAATCTGATTAATTGTTATGATCTAATGGGGTGGTGTGCCGTAAATTGAACCATATAATTCCCAGAGTTGTAAACACAGTACTCCAGTATACCTGAATTTCAGACCAAGGTTGATAGAAGGCACTGACCAGGTTTTTGTAATAAACAAAAATGATTCTGTATTATAAATAATTAGATAATAGCTACAAGTAAACAGATAAGCCATTGGCACATTATACTAGTAAATAAAACCCCACTCCCTTTTAATCTGTCTCTCCCACACAACAAATAGGGAAAATAGATTGGTGAAATTGAGAAAACCAGTTCAGTTGTCTTTGTTTCGTGCTTCCGATGTTGAGAAGATCCTACCTCAGTTAGTCAGGTCCTCGGTGTTCAGATGTCTTTCTCTGGAAGCTTCCACTGGTCTGTGAGAAAAACAGAGCAACGTACTCACTTGGAAATTTGCCTCTGTATCAATCCAAAAGTCAGAGTTGCAGGTACTGTTGTAGAAATAGGTTTCTTTCAATTTTAAATTGATGGTTTTACTGCAGAGAACAGCTTCTACTGGGTAGAATAACAGCACACCCTTTTGTTTTCTTTTTCTGTACATTTGTGTCTCTAATTAGTTTCTAGTTCCAACCTGATCATATAGTGAAGAACCAATTAGCTTCACTTCTAAACAAATCTGTGTTCCTGATCATCTGCATATTGAAGGAATCCATTGCAAAAAAAAATCACAATAGGTATTGAATTCCTTGCTGTGAAATTATGCAGCTATCCTGGTAAATCCCTGTTTTTAAAATCCGGTCTTTCTCCATGCAATCCATAGCTTTTGAAGATAAAAAGAAAAAGGCTTGTTTCTTATAATTTTTAAAATTAAAAAAAGTAGACATTTCCTTGGAGATAACTAGAATTAAGTGTATTGGCAGAGATCTGGAAATGGTAGGTTCTGACCTTCTTGGAAAAAATGAAGTTAAAATAAGCTGGTGGATGCTAATTAATTACCACTTCATTTCTAAAATGTTTTCTTTTAGGGGGCAAATATATTACTGACAGACCATGGTGATGTAAAGTTAGGTGAGTATGACCCAGGACTTCCAATATTGACATATTTTGTAAAAACCTGATTTACACCATCCGCAGTTCTTTTGGAACAAAAACAAAGTTGCTGGAAAAGCTCAGCAGGTCTGGCAGCATCTGAGGAAAAATCAGAGTTAATGTTTCAGGTCTGGTGAACCTTCCTCAGAATGTTGATGTATTTTTGGCTATTTAATATTTTAAGGCTAAAGGTAATGGATACCTTTTTTTTTGTTCCTTTATGTGAATATGATTATCTAGCTTTTTAGTCAAGCATGGAAGGTAGTTTCTGTATTTAAAACAAAATCTATTTGAGTAAATATGTGTAGCACTGTATAGTATAGTGTGAGAGTGGAGGTTTATACATCACATGTTCATTTTTCTTTGCTTCCAGTGGACAACTCAAGTAAAAATGGGAAGAATGGGCTATTAGCCAACCCGTGAAGAGTCTTACAATTCAGTTGCTCACCACAGCTGTGTTTGGTCTGAAATTGTTAATTACCTAATTTCCTCCTTGAGGAATATTAGAAGAAAAGATATTGTTGTACCAACTGTTATTAAAATATATCACTGACAGTCTCGATTTCTTAAAATGCATGCCTAGCAAAAAATGTTGCAGTTCATTGAGGACCTTGGTGTTTAATTCTTTCCTTACCAACGCCACCTCCCTTGCTCGGCTATGCTTCCATCTCCACAGCAGTATTTCTGCTGCTTACCCTGGCTGAAATCAATCATTTTAGCACCATGGAATAAGATCTATTTGATCTTTATGGCTCAGTGGCGCAATTGTATGGCCATTTACGCCTAAACCACTGAGGAGATTGTAAGTGGGCTTTCATTTTTCGAGTAAGACTGGTTTAAGTGTACAATTCAGGCTGTCAATTTACCAAATATAAGACAACAAGGTGCAGGGCTGGATGAACACAGCAGGCCAAGCAGCATCATGCTGCTTGG